CTGCATGTAAGCAGTCACATGCTCCGAGACGAAACTGAAGAGGCAAGAGGTTGCAGAGTGTTGGTAAAGTGGAGGTGGTGATGGGTGGGGTCGGTTTTATTGCCTTTTGTGGTAGTAAAATGCACCTGGTTAGGAAAAGGCAGTTGCATCAAGCCTTTGATTCTTTTATTTCTAAACCCTCGTGGGAATGTTAATTTTTGGTAAAAATAATTCAGTTTTAACTGATCAATCTCTTTTTTTCGCTTTTTTGCACTTATGGCGCAGCTATCTGTCTACTTCAAACCATCCATTTTTCCCTCATTAGGATCGTCCAAAAAGCATTAATTCCACTCTCGAATCGATGGAGGAGTCGACGTCAACTTCGCTCTCTCCGGGCTATGAATTGTCTCCGCCGCATCTTCTCCCCAAGACAAAGAATTTTGTTTCTTCCAGGCTGGAGTTCACTGGAAAGCCCATTCTCACCGGGAAGCATTTATCCAAACAGCGGTCACGACGAGTGAGTGAACCCTTCTTTGCTGACCTTTGTTTTATGTGAACTGAAAAATGGGTCTGGTTTTTGATGTTATCTAATGGTATTTTAAATGTGTCACTTGAGCTATAAAATTGCCTGATTTTTTTATTTGTCTCATTTGTGCTGATATGAGCCTTTTTTGGGTGGGCGAACCAATCCCCTCCGTTAATGTCAATTACCCGAAATTTGTGTGCGTGCAGGTTTTCGCAGGTGAGTGGTTTCACGGTTTTGAATCCTTTTAATTTGAACGAAAAAAGGACAAAATGGTCCTTTTTTGTTTTCTCTACTTGATCTAAAAGTTGATATTTGGGTTGGTAAAACCACCACTGACAGAAGGTTTTAGTTCTTCTTTCGGGCTCAAACTTCCCGAGGTTTGTTGGGTAAATGCATGAGTAGCAGTCGAGTCCTTTAACCCCTTCCCTCTTTGATTGTGGCCTCGAGTTTTTGGGCTTAATCCATCTTTTTACCCTCAGATGTGGTTCAACGGTTTTCAGGCTTGAATGCTTCACTTCTAAGCCATTTTAAACGCGTTCAACCTTGTCGTTGTAAAGTGGGAGACTAATTTAGCAGAAGGTTAATTCTTTAACCAAAACGCGGCAACCAGTAATGGGCGCATTTTGCTGTCTGCTTTGTGTCTCACTTCCTCCTTTCTTTTATAGCTAAACGCGTGGGGCCTTTTTTCTTGATTGTATGCACCTGAATTCACTAAATCAGCCATTTCGCTTCTCACTTCGCTATTTGGATGCTTGAATGGGAGATTTGGAGCGGGCCATAATCAAATCACCTCTTTTGGCTAATTTTGTGAGCTGATAAAACCCTCCTTTTGTGGATGCTAAATGACCGACTCCATGGGTACCTTTTGTGGGGAAGTGGGCCCCTTTCAATTGTGTATGTGGGTGTAGGGAGGGGTTACGTTTTGCAATTTGGTAGCATTTCGTCAACTTTCTGAGGCCCAGAGCCCCGACGAAATGGACCAATTGGAGCTCTAATTGTATCCCCTTTACCCTCCTTTCCCCCTACTTCGAGAACCACCGATTGAGTGTTTTCTTCAGCAGAAAATATAGTCATTTCATCAACTTTTTCATCATTTGTTAGGTGTTTTTACTTTGATCCTAGTATCTGGGTCAATTTCTTAACTTTTAGTTTTCAAATCATTTAAACAGCTTTAAGTGCATACTCTCTTTTACCCCTCCGTTTGCCGAATATAGTGGGGATGTACGTGATTTTGAACCGTCCTCCTTTTTTTGCTTTGAACTGGAAACAGCCTGTTTTTATCCCGTCCTTGTGGGCCAATGCACGCCTTTGAAGTGTTTTATTTTGGCATGCGAGCGAGGGACGGCTTAAAATCGTTGGGCAATGCCTTAAAATGCGCGGACAGGCTTGTTCGTTTCTACCCCGCTGAATTTAACCGAGGAACGATGCGTTTCTGAACCACTTCTTCATTTAATTATCTCAGTTTTAAGTTTTTTTGTTGATTTTATCAACAACCCCGAAGTAGGACGCATTAGTTTACCTACTTTTGGTTTGGAAGGTGGGTCAGCAATTTGATTGGGTGGGATTGCTTGACCTATATCTACCCACCCGTATTCTCTCCCTCAATTCATTTGTACCCCTATCTGCCTTTCAGTCCAATCATTCTTCACTTCATTCACTCATTCGTCCACCGATCTGTCCGTTTTTAAATTGCTAGGATTTGATAATTCCTAATTTCATGCTCAACTCTAGTTGCCGTCTTTCGGTTAGGTGACTGGTGTGCCATGTGATCAGTTGCTTGGTGAGAGGCAAACGCCTTAGACAAAATTTTGAACGATTCTTGTATACTTCATTTCTGGAATTTAATCAAGTCGAGATTGTCTAGAGGCAGGACCTTAGTTACCTCCTCAAAGTTGTCTGCTCTGCGGTTCCTTTCTAGATATTAGTGCTTGTCCAGTATCACTTCCTTGAAGGACTCTTTGTGAAAGGACTTATTTTGGATCGAAATCCGGCAATGTGATTGGGTGAATTGTCTTGAATAAATTGAGTAGGAATCGGGTTGTTTTCTAGAACCCTTTTAAGTGCCTGAAGAGATTATTCTGCAAATAACTTGGCCCCAGTATGCTAGCCTTTGTCCAAAAGAATTATCCCCTTGAGTCCTTCATTGATACGTCTGCTATCATGTAAGTCCTTTCTGCAAGCATGAAATAGTCCACTGGTAAAAGCTCTACTTCTTGTACATGTATGGTAAGTTGAGCAAGCAATGATTTGTTTTGCATCGACTTCACTCACTAGCTAATTCACCTTTTACATTCATAGTTTCGGGCGTAAAGCGGTACCCCTTTTTTCCTCCTTCGAGTTCTCGGCCTCCATTCGCACTCCCAATTTTAATTTGGCCATTCTGAGTAGAAAATAATTGTTTTCCTCCGGACTGGTGCTGTGTCTGAAAAGGCGTTTATCAACCCGGTTCACACTACAAGTTCCCTCTTTATCCAAGACACACCTTAAAAAAGGTCAGATAGGTTATTTTTTGTCTGGTCGAATCAAACCTACCTAACCATAGTCATCGACATCGTTGTCACCATTCCATGTCTGTTTATTCATCAAAAGCCAGACTTAACAGCCTTATTTTGAATGATCAAGTCCATTCAAAGCGTTAAACCTTTCGGCCTGGATGTATTCGTTTGCAGAAGCGTTTAATCATCAGGTTTCTTCCTTTGTCCACGCAAAAAAAAACGCGTCTCGGTGAATGTACCGCTAGACTGTTCAGTGGATCATGGAACTGCAATGTGGAGGGTGTTTGTGCCACCCGAAGAAGCGGATTAATTTCTCACAGGAAGGACATCCCATGTGTCTCCCTTATAGCCTTGAGGTTAGCCAGTTCGTTTTCGCAACGTGCAGTTCGGCAAAACCAGTTACCGCGGGCTTCAGAATAGAAGGTTTTATCAGCTAGATGGCGGCATGCAGGCTTGGACAGGAAAGTCGGACCCCTGCGCGCAATTAACGCTGGCATATGGTGAAAGTGTGTGACCACCCCTACGTGAAATAAAGGGCTGTAAGTACTCCTGTTAATGGCTATTTAACGACTAGAATAGACAGCCTTCGTCTGCGGGTTGGCTTTCCGTTTTCTCCACCTTCGTGTGTGTTTCACTAATTCAAAGATCTCTAGCCATAGGATGTAGACTGGTCGCCTCCTCCTTCACATCCTTCATCTCTCGAGTTTATAAACTTGATTCCCCCCCTGGCTTATTTCAATTGCCTACACGTGCTGTCCGTATGCAGTTGGGCCAATTAACGAGTGACACGTCACTGAGGGGGTGGTTGGGCAAGATATATGGACGAGTGTGCATCATCGTTGTCGTCCACATAGCCATGGGCACGGGGTAGAAGAGGGCGTTTTTTGCAGTTTTTATCTTGGAAAATGAATAAGTGGGAATGAAGGAATGTTTTGAATGGCGAAAGTTATCAATGTGGATTAAAAGGAATCCACTTTTTGCGATGGATTTGATTTGCTCGTGGAGGGCATCGAATTCGGAACTTGGAGTTTGTAAAAGGGCTGAAAACTGTACAACTATGGGTTAGAGTCCACGCTAGAATGGCTTCCAGCTCACGTTGTGGGTAAACGTTTTCAAAGCGTCATTGAAAAGAAATGAGGAAAACAAGTGACAGTACCAGATGTTTTATTAGAAGGAAAGTAGCAACATTTCCAGTTGATAAGACAAGGAAGATATTCGAAGAGCAAGCATTTACGAGAGCGAGAAGGGGCTGTCGATGCTAGACGATTGATTGAAGGTTTTCTGCTTTATTCAAAGATGGTGAATCACTCCATGTTCTGACTCACCCAAGCCCTCATACACATTTATCAAGCACAGTAACTA